GAGCCGCAAAGCTCCCGCTCCCCCAGCCTCTCCTTCAGTCAGCACGATGTGAGTGACTCTCATACTATACTCATGACCGGGTTGAATGATCTTCTGAGCTTTAGGGCAGCATCCGCGGCATCGCTCCCCATGCCGTACAGGATGAGGTTTTTCTTAGTGGCAGGTATGCTGTCATTTCTCTAACGTCTTCCAACCATTTGACCGTATCGAAGCGAAGACGGGCGGATAATCCTACATGACGGACGTGCCGCCCCGAGTGCTCGTGTGCGCGCGCAGGACACAATTCAGTTTGCAGCAGAAGTGACAGGGGTGCAATTCCATCCCGTCATGGAGCACATATTTGCTACCAGCGACGGCTACGGGCGCGTCTGCCTCCGTGACATACGGATGGCCTTTGGACCCCTGGTGAGGCGGACGCAGGAGGGCATTGTGCAGACAGTAGGTGTGTCCCGGTACCTCGTGGGATCATCACTTAAGTAAAACTGTAGTACAACACTAAGCTCTCGCGCCGATCCATTGCGCACTTGAGCCATCCCGAAGCTAGCAGTCTCTCGTTCAATGAGCAGGGTTTGTGAACACATTTTTTCCCCCAATGTAGTCTATGTGTTGATTCGTTCACGTCGCAGGGACTCAGCTCGGTGTGACGATGCTGGTGGGTGGGCTCTGCCCGAAACATGACCTGCTACCAACATTGTGCAGCATTACTCTCCCACTATATATGCTCTCACGGACCCAGACCCCGTGGCTGTCTGCAGCGCCGAGAATCATCCAGACGGCACTCCCATATCGAGCGGGGAGAGAACATACGGGAACGCATGCACGATGAAGGTAAGTAATCCTTATCTTTTCTCTTCTAGTGTGTATTGATGGGCGAATATTAGCACGGCTCATTCGGCGGCCCTGGTCTTGATGCGGACGCGCTGTACGCCGCCGGATCCGACGACTTCCGCGCTTATATCTGGGCACTTCCTTCCCCCGCAACTCTCGCTGCGCGGCGTACCGTCTTCTCTTATGCCGCGTGGGACGCGGGCGAGCATGTGGGTGTAGTCGGTGAGCGTCAATCCCATTCTAGACTAATCGCCACTAAGGTGGTTACATAGCGTTTGCAGAGCACCTCACCGGCCCACGTTGTGTTCCCGCGCAGCTCCATACGCCGCGTGCGCGCCTTGGAGGCCACACGTCTATCGTAAATACCGTGCTCGTACACCCGCGCATGCTGCTCACGGCAACTGCCGGTGTGGAGGCGAGTATCATCCTGCATGGCGCAGTAGACTCGCTGCTTGGTGGTATGAAAGCGACGGGGACGCAGACACGAGACATCGGAGAAGAATTGTCGGCGGAAGGAGAGGAGGATTGGCTGAACGCACAGCGGAGCACAATTCGGCTGTTTGACGGGTACGGCTGTGTTTGTCTTTTCTTTTTCTCTATGTTCACGCAATCTCAATCTCAAGCATTTTGCGGCGGGAGGGCCAGCTAGATGTGTTCCGGACTCGACCGTGGGGCAGGAGTGGAGACAATAGTGGGGATTCGGATTCCTCGGACGAGTCTGATTCAAATGGAGCAGCAGAAGATGAAGATGTCGAGATGAATGGGTCCGAGGAATAGTTGGGCCATACATGCATGACTGCAACTAGACGGCAGGGATGACCTGTTACAGTCGTTCATCCGTAAGTTTGAGTTATTTTTGCAGCGCGTCAGTCACGTTGGTCTGATGTTTCTCCGTGATTCTATGTTCATGAACGAGTCCGTCTGTAGAAATCTCACTCTCAATTTACGCACACACCTGAATTTACTAGTCAGACCCGGGCCCTCTTCCCTTCCACTCGAACCACCGCCATGTTGTCGGATTGTCTCGGAATTGTTACAACCTAAATCTTTCCAAGCTACATATCCCCGTTCTTTCACGCATGTGTTCATGATGGGCGAACTCACCGCGTTCTGTTCCTGATATTCTGATGGTGTTTGTTCCTCGATTCCATGACTTTCGTGGCTTGTTCACTATACCTTCAGGCTGTGAATGACCCTGCTCTGCTTTGACGCTGGAAAAACAAACGTACGACCGTTCATGAGGTTGAGCTTGTCGTTGAAGCCTAAATCCCCGGTGTCACATTGTAATCTTTTCATACTTTTATATCAGTCGATTTCGTGGATTAATTTTAGCTGCGGATCAAATTCTTTCGTCGGGTGGGAGCGAGAAGCACTTGGTGCAACTCCATAAAACCCGACGGGAGATAAATAGGATTCTAGCGCTCACGATATCGTGCCAGCACAATGCGTCTCCCCTTTATTTTGGCCCTGCTCGGCATTTTCTCCTCCTCCTTGGCTGGAGTCACGGTTCAGAAACCTGGCTTGACTGTTCCAGCCAAGTACAAGAGCAACCGTGATGCAGCGGAGAAGATATTTGTCACGTCTTACAACGCATACAGGCAAGTCAGATATCAAAGAGATATGACAAGACTAATTCGACACAGGAAGTTTGCCTTCGGCCATGATGAACTCCTACCGATTAGTGAAAGTTCTCTCGATGACTTGGGAGGTTGGGGGGCATCCCTCGTTGATGCAATGGTATGCCATATTTCCTGCTACGAATCATACAACTCACAGGCTGTAGGGTACCATGGTATGTTCAACCGGCTGAAAGATTCTTCTCAGCTGAAGAGAACATTAGCTAGTTATGGGTTTAACCGTAATCTTTTATCTTTGAAATCAGTCGGCATATCCCCTCACCTACTTGAAGGATTTCTTCAATGAAGCGGTAAATTTTACCAGCCACATCGACTTCAACACACCCCCAACACCCGGTGATATCAGGTGTGGCCATATCAGTGTTGATGTTTTGAGTCTATTCAAATTTACGGCAGTGTTTTTGAAACCACCATCCGTTATGTTGGGGGTCTGCTTTCAGCATACGAGCTCAGCGGAGAAAAACATCCTATCCTGGTCGACAAGGCGAAACAAGTGGCCGACAAACTCGCCTTTGCCTGGGTTGGAGCAAGTATCTGATGATCGACGTACTACCGAGTTCCTTATCAAGCTACGCAGGACAATGTTATTCCTTTTGGTCACATCGACTTCACCACAAACACTCCAGATATCGCAGTTGTAAGTTTAATTTGATTCCTCAATTTATCAATGTTCTGATCATCTCGCAAGACTAATATCGCGGAGGTTGGGACACTTTCTCTGGAATGGTTGACTTTGAGCAAATTTACGAAAAATGCAACATACGGAGATCTGACAGCTAAAGCCGTTATACACGTTGCAAATCTTGTGCGTCATTGGCTTTATATACTGACCCTTCTCTTCTTCATGTTGTGATTAGCCCGCTCCGTTACCAGGTTATTAACAGGTGACAGTTATGTCATTCTTTTACTCACCTGGACCGTCTATTCACCAGGTCTTGCTGCACGATTTATCGACCCCACATCCGGCGAATTTGACGGAGCATACGTTGTGAGTATCAGTGTTTTAGCCATATAATTGATTAATAACTACATAGGGCTGGGGTGGCGGAAGCGACTCGTATTTCGAATATCTTCTCAAATACGCACGCTTTACCAACACCGATAATCATATTTTTATCGACACATGGAAAGTCAGTTTATCCGGCCTGGATCTGGTCTTCATACCATGTTGAAAATTCAACCTGACAGACGGCTGTGGATTCATCGATCAGAACCCTGTTTAAGGTTCAAACTTATTATTGCACGCTCATGGCAACTCATCCTTGTCGAATCCATAGACATCCACTGTTGGGGACCACGCTTACCTCGCGGATTTTGATGACCAGGGTCTCATCCGCCATGTGGGATCGTAATTAAATTAATTCTGATCTGTCTTTCAGCTCTTGAAATAGTTCCAGACATCTAGCGTGTTTCTACCCCGGAAATTGGCTTCTTGGTACTATCCCACTGCGATTCTGAAGTCGCAACTCACCGTTTTTTTTACAGGAGGAAAGCTCTTGCAGAACCAGACTATTATCGATATCGCCTTGAAACTCAACGACGGATGCTGGGCAGGTCATTTTATTATCCCCTCGTCAGATGTCTTAACGTGGTCCACATAGAACACTTACGCGGGTACTGCCACTGGTATCGGGCCGGAGAACTTTGCATTTATCAGCTCGGACGGCAATTTTACGGGCGGGGATTCCATTGCCCCTGACCAGCAGGCGTTCTACAACAAGCACGGCTTCTACATTACCGGATCCGACTACATTCAGCGTCCAGAGGGTATTTGCTCATTATTCTAGTGCTTCGACGGTCACCCAAACCGTATCAATCCAGTTCTCGAATCCAACTTCTATGCATGGCGGGTAACCGGCGATACGAAATACCTTGACCGTGCGGCGGCTGCTATTGCGTCATTCAACAAGTTTTTACCGGCAAATGTTGCCTTCGCTGGGTTGAACGATGTGAATAATCCAAAAGCCGGCAAGATTGATACCACGGAAAGTTTCTGGTCAGCGCCTTCGTCAGACTATGAAAGAAACGCGTTGATCTCTTTTTCTTTTGTAGGTTTGCAGAAGTGCTGAAATATCTGTGTGTCGACTTGAATTGTTTCCGTCTTGTTCCCAGTGCTCACAACTCTTTAGCTACCTTACGTTCGACTCTCCTGAGCATATTAGTTTGGACGACTGTGCGTCTAGAGTCCCTGTGTATTTACCACCTCTCACCCCCTACAGACGTGTTCAACACCGAGTGTCATCCACTGAAGGCCCCACCTGCGCTCAACTCATATGCTGGCTCCGGATCGTTGATCCCGCAGAAACCGTTTACAGCCCATACCATGAACGCGCCGCTCCCTGCGATCAGTCCTATCTAGTATTCAACTTAACCCATTGACATGTACAAAGTTGTGTGGGAGTCCGGTCCAAATACAATGAGAGTGGAAAAGATGACACGAATTGCTCGTAAGGCGGCGCTACTTCAGCGTAGATTTCCACTATTCTTTTGCTTTGCGAGGTCTCGTCCGTCTGGCTCGCAAAAAAAAAAAAAACATACACGAACCGGGAATCGAACCCGAAGCTAGGCCAATTCTACTCAAGGATGGGAAGACCCAATGTTACCGTTACACCATTCGTGTCATGAGAGGGAGCCCCAAAAGAAACATGGAGAGTGCGTATAGCGGGATTGCCACCCCATAGAATAATTGATGGCTTGCTGGTGGCAACCATTTCACCGATCCCTCACTTAGTCACTCAATATATAGTCACTAGCCTTTTTATCGACTTGTCAGACCCTTGCGCCGTGAAATCGTTCTGAACATCAAGCCCTGTATGGTATGCGACGCGATCGTTCGTTCGTGAGTTGAATTCGGAGCTGCCCGACGGATGGCGCCAGGCGCGCTGGAAGCCGGTCACGAAGCTCAGGTTTATGATATTCAGACCACGCGAAGAACTGGAAAGCTCTTCAAACTTCAAGCTTCAAGCTTCAAGCCTGAGGCCTTCTCTCACCATGTGTCACACTGTCCTGAGTCTTTTAATCTGCCGTCCTGCAGTGAAGTCACATGAACCTAAATCGACTCCTAACTGGGACGCGCGATAATCTCATAAATCTGCGATTCAGCTATCGCGATAAAGAGAGCCCTCATAAGCCTTAAAAGCACAACAGCTTGCGACCTCCTCGTGTTCTTATCGCTCTGTATATGTTTCCAGCTGGACGACTTCAACGAGGCGCAAGGCTGGACTTGGACCAGACTTGGAGAACACTCCTGAGGAGGCCAACGACGACTATACAAGGCGTCCATTTCCGAAGAACACTCCGAGCCGAAGCACTATGTATACAATCTTGCGGCCATATTTATCGCTCTATTCCAAGACAAAGATCAAAGCAACGAAAATCCATTTAAGTATACCAACTATGTACGATATTAACTGCTAGCCCAAGTGGCTCACTGATTCTACGATACTAGGATACATATCGATACTGATACACACATTAGCCTGGTCCGTCTACGATATGTATCCTACAGACTTCCAGAGTCTAGTTTCGCAGCTGCGTCAAATCCTGCGTCGCCCCAATCATGAAGCGCGCGAAGTCATCCTCTGGTTCTGGTTCCACCGCCCTCGCCTTCCCCTTGCCTTTCCGGTCGACCGTGCCCGTCTGCACAAGACTCCCAGTCCGACTTCGAAGGCCTTTCTTCGCTCCGCTCGGTGGAGAAAGTACGTTGGTCTCCAGTGCTTCCAGCGCAGCGCGGAGCTCCTGGTTCTCCCCAGTGCCTGCGGTACTGGGCGTCCATCGGACGTGCTTTTCCTTCGCCATCTTTCCGTCAGCAGTCAGAAAATCGCTCGACTCGACGTTTCCTTTCGAGCCCGCTGGAAGATTGCTGGACCGCGAGGGCATCGTTGAAACGGGGGCACTAGGAGGAGGAGATGTCGGCGTGAAATCAAGGATATGAGAAAATGTTGTCGGGGGTACACTGGGTTTCGGCTCAAAGATGACTTTGGAATCGACGGGAAGTCTCTCGAGTGAATCTGCGTCTTCCTCGTCTGACACTTCCTCGATAGTGACCCGCTTGGCTTTCCCTTGTTTTCCCGCCTTTGACTTCTTGAGGATACTGGGAGGTGCGCCCGGAGTCATTTTAACTCCTCCCTTCTCTGGAAAGGCGAAGCTTCGAGGACTCGGGGAGACGGGGTCTGACATGCGTCGTGGTCGACTCTCAGCGAGGACTGGAAGGCGTGGTGGCATGGATGTCGACTTCTCGATCTGCGTGCTGGACGAGAGCGACATCTTTGCCTGATCGGCCTTCTTCGCGACAGAACTACTCGAAACCCACACCGTTGCGGAGGGCGGCGGCGGCGGCGGCATCCAAAGGTCGGACCCGAGAGATTTATGGATGAAGGGCCTTTGTATCTGTTCCAGAGTAGTCCGCGACGAGCTGGCTCCAGGCGTTGGCGTGTCTATCACTTGCGCTCGGGCCATTTTCTGTGCAATTGTAGGGGGAGATGTGATCGGCGGAGTCGGTTTGGGGGTGTCAACGGGAGGGCCTGGAGGGGATTTTACCGGGGGATAGGTTTTCGATAACGCCGGAGGGGACGGGCCTTTCGATGGAGCTGGAGGGGAGGGCCCTTTCGATGGAGCCGGAGGAGACGGCCCTTTCGCCGGTGCGGCAGGAGACTGCCCTTTGGCAAGCACAGGAGGAGTCTGGCCTTTCGCTGGTGCCGGAGGAGAAGAGGCTTTTGCCGGTGCGGGAGGAGGAGGAGCTTTTGCCGGTGCGGGAGGTGGTGTCACCTTCACTGGCGCAGGAGGAGATTGAACTTTGGCCGCCGCCGGAGATTGGCCCTTGGCTGCTGTCTTCTTCGACGAGTTGGCATTGGAGACGACGGGCTTATTGACGGCTGGTGAGGGAGAGGGTAGTTTTGAAACAGCGGTGGGTGAAACGGCTGAAAACACTGCGGTTTCTACGGACGACGAGGTAGACTTGTTTTTCTTTCGGCCTCCCTTCGTGGGGGCAGCCGCTTTGACGACCTCAGCCGGCGGCACCCAGACCTGTGGCAGATCAGCTGGAGGCTGAGATGATGCTGCAGAGGAGGAGGTTGTGGACGATGCAGTAGAAACTGGTGTGGTGGAAACCGACACGTCCAGCAGGTCGGGGACGCTCGCAGTCAGCCGGTCTGACTCGGGAGCGGCCGACCATGCACTCCGGAAAAGGGCGGACTGGGACGGGGTTAAAGTTGATTGGGAGTGTCGTCGGTCACGACGAGTCTCGGGCAACGGGACAACAGGGTCGGGCGTCACGATGAAGCCGCTTCCTAATTTGAGCTTCGACTCTACCTCTTGTGTGAGACGTTGGCGCGGACTCTCGGCTTCGCCCCAAGCCCCTGGCACGTTGCGTGTCTGACGCTGCCGAATGGCTTCCCTCCGTTTCTGACGCTCCTCCCTTACAATCTCCTTTCTCTCCTCCTCCTTCGAGCGCCGCAGCTCAACCATACGCTTCTCGTGCTCCGAGATTTTGCGCTCCTCATCGTCGCGCCACGTCTTGCTCGTCTTTCGTGCGTTATATATGTCCTGCGCGAGCTGGATGTCCGCACGCGCAGCTTCTTCGTGGAACTCGCGGATTTTGACAACGCGAGTTTCCATCTTGAAGCGCTCGAAATCTGCCTCGTCGTCGGACATCTCACCGGCATCCGTCAACTGCGGCCCGATATAGCGCGGACCGGCGACGCGCGTTTTGTGGGACGCCGAACGAACGTCTGGCTCGAATGGTGGTAAGGGCGCAGCGGCGCGAGGGAAGAATGTGTGTTCTGCCGCAATTGTTTTTGGCGGTGGTCTTTCAGGTGAGCCGGTTTGTGAACTTTGTCTCGACGATTGACTCGTGTCGGCCGACCAAATGCCGTACGACGACGAATCCCCGTTCCATCCCCACGGAATCGAGGTTGGTGTGTCAAAAATCTCATCCGCAATGCTCTCAGGACGAGAACTGGCCGGCTATGACGTTTCTATTGTTAGTATTCTCTTGTGAATTGGGTCTGGGGACTCACTGTTTCAAAAGGGTAAATAGATTCAAACGCATCCGTATCGTCGTCGTCGTCCAGCTCGTCACCAATGTTCAAAGACATGGGGCTGACGAACGAGTAACCAGAGGTCCGTACCGCGTGTTTTAACGCTGGCAGCCCGGCGACTTCGGAGTCTTCTGCTCGCGCCACACTCTCCATTATGGCCATGCCCTCCTCGTCCAGGTCCCCGCCAAGCAGTCTTTCCACCGCGAGGGTCTCCTTGAAAGTCATATCACCCCAGTCCTCGTCCCTCAACCCAGCTTGCTCCAACCTCCGTTGCCACTCTTCTCGTGCGAGCGTGACCAGGCCGTCCTCCAGCTCACGTCGATATGTGGCCTTGTTCTTCTCGTGGTCCTGTTTAGATGGTCGAGTTCTGGTGGGAGTGGCATTCCATTTCGCGTCGTTTTCCTTGGATGCTTCAAGTATCGCCTGTTCCATTGCTACGCGCGGCACAGTTTCCACCCATTGCTCAAAGGCGTGCCATTGCCGCCGCACACGGTCGGCGGGCTTCATGTAGGACGTGGTGGAAGGGAACATCTAAAGCGTTTGGGCAAAGGGTTTATAAAGATGACTCGGTGCCACACAATTTACGATTATTTTTTCGTGTAACAGCTTTCAAAATGAAAAGCAGATGGGAATACAAGGATTGCCTCGTGTTGGTTGCCGAGCCGGTTGAATTTCCGTGCAAGTCGCGTGGCTCGAGGCCAATTTGTCGGTGCTTTCCGCAGAGATCCTGGCTGATCTAAGTTATGGGTCGGTGAACGCAGCAGGTGTTGGCAAGTCTCTGAAGTTGGTGGGGCAAGGGCAAAGCTGGTTGGGTTCTGATAAAGATGTAGCAAGTCACGTGCAGCATCCTTTGGGATGAAAACACGAGGTGTCGGTATGCCCTTGCCCTGCCTCATCATCTGGACTCGTTGATTCGGGTGGATGCGGCGCGTTTGCCGTCTACAAAACTCCTCGGGAGTCGACGGGATTCGATGTTTTTTCTCTCGACCCATTCCTGCACGCGCTCAGCCAATTTTCCATGTCAAATAGTCGAAGATGCGGCCTCGTATTATTATCACAGCCGTACCTCGAGGTGCGCTATGGCCCTTATGCGGTGATTTCGCGTCGTTTCAGTCCGTCGATCTGAATCAATGTTAAATAATTCACGAATCGTTACCTCGTCGTATGCAAAGCATTTCAAGGAGAGAAGGTTTCGAGACGTGAGAAACCTGGGAGGGTTCGGAATTTTGACTTAAATATGTAGCGACAACCTCCCGCCATCATACCGACGCCATACCGACGCCAAGGCGGGCCTCGGGCTGCCAGAAGACCCACACCAGCAGCCAGGCCCGGATTCGCCAGATTGGTAAAGCGTCGTAGAAGTTCTGTGTAGAAGGGCTGCTGATTTCAACAAGTGACAACAAAGTTACGCGTCGTTGCATCGTGGCCTCGGACCACCACAGGGCGCATTCGGCGGTGCGGGAGACATCATCTTCAATTTGTAGCGTAAGTTCCTTTTGAGATCGTCCTACAGCACGCGTACTCAACCCGGAGGATCAGTTAACTGCTCAGGGTAGCCGAATGAACTTTACGTGATATCGCC